GGACGCTACTAGGAACAAGTGCATCGCTACTAGTAACAAGTGCCTTACTAGTAGTAACAAGAAGCTACTAGGGGCTCCTGGCACACCATCGCGATCGGTCCACGGGTCGCTGCTACGCCCACTCTGGAGCATAGCGGGTGAAAAGATCTAATGAATGCAGCTAATTTCGCACCACAGGAAGCGCGATGTCCCAAGTGGACAAAGCGCGTGCAGCCCCAAGGTGGAACAAGTGTACCATTTGCAATCGCTCCTCATCTGACATGTACACAGAGGCGCCAGCAACAATACCCTTAGGCAGCGCACGGCCAGCATACTTTGTCTCTGTGGCCACAAGGTCGCCAGGGAAAATCTGGGCATCTTCGACACATATGGCCTGTTTCAACATGGAGCGGAAGGTCAGGATCAGATGATGGTAGAAGCTAACCCCAGCTTCCAATTGCGAATGACCAGTCCACGCAACCAAAAAAGGCAAGCTAGCTCTGTTGTTGCAACGCATGACTGTGGGTCTTCTCGCCAACGAAGAGTCTGAAGGAAACGACGACACTCACGCCAGTCATCTGCGTGAGTCCACTTGCTTGGAGGGGGCTGACGATCAAAGATTTTGGCCCTCCATGGAAACTCTGTTCGGAGTGCAGCCCATTCCCATTGAGGGAATCTTGACACAACGTTAGCTGGAGTGTCTGTGCTGGCCTTGGGGCCTTGAGACGAGGAGGGAGACGGTTGCGTAGTTTCCAAGAGCCAATTCAACATAACCAACCACTCTTGCCTGCGCAAGACCGCTGACTCAAGCATCTTTTGATCTCTTGGGTGGATCGGTGACAGCTCGGTCGCCAAGCGGTTTGCTTCTTTGTCAGCGATACGATTGGCGTAGATGTCCCTGGCGGTGGAACCACATGCTCGAGCGGCTGCTTCGGAAATGAGCTCAAGCGGCAGACGCTCAAGAAGATGGCTCGGTGTCCATAGAACTTCAATTGGTGCCACACAATACGCTCGCCGAGCGAGGAGGATGCGGCAAATCTCTTGCCACCAAGGTGTGTGCGGCCAAGAAGCATGGACTCGTCCAGCACGGCATAGCTCAGCAAATTGATCAACAATGGATTGACAATCTGACTTGACTTGGATACAACAGGTTGCTAGCTTGATCACCCGAAGGAGAGCATAGAGTTCTGTGGTATAGGCGGAAAGCTCCCAGTAGGAAACACCACCAGATTCAACGACCTGGAATCGGGCGTCGGCTATGGCATAGGCTCCTGTAGCTAGCCAGAAGTAATTGCCCCATTGTACTGAGCTGTCGGTCCAAAAAAAATTCTGTTCGAATAGCATCAAAGGTAGTCGAATCTGCTCCAATGGGGGGAAATCTGGAGTCTTCGAAGAGCGATGGACCTTGGACGCGTGCACAAACCAAACATGGGAAAGTTCACATGGCCGAGGCAACCCCAGGGCAATCGTGAACTAAGCGTGCCCAATTTTCCTTGGGACAATCGCACAAGCGGCACTTGGGAGATTCAACCAGCTCGGCCCGGAACAGGCGGTCATTAGTGAGGTTGCACCCTGATTGCGCAGATTCAAAAAGAATACGGCACGGAATCGGGGACTCCAACTTCAACCGGGATTTATGTACAAAGAGAGATGATAAGTCCGGATCAACAACGGCCGAACACTTGGCGATGTCTCGGCGTTTCGAGCAGGCAGCTTCTGTGTAACATTTTTGTTTTGCAAGATACTGTAACGGCTTGGCAATGTCCCTGTGGTTCAACTCATATAGTGGAATTGATTGAGATCCCCTAAAGGAGATGCAAAGCCCTTGTTGCAATGTCAGGCCTAAGAGCTTAAGTGCTTCCTCTAGTTGCCACATCAGTGATTCACGTGGCCAGGGGTGTGAGTTTTGAAGGTCACAACAAAGTTGTATAGCGCTCGGCAAATGATGCAAAAGTCTCACAAAGTCAATGACCGCCGTATAAGCACGAGCGATCTGTGGCTCAACCCTGTGCGGCGCAGCAACGATGCCGAGTACCAGCAATCGGGACCTCCAATGGGGGCGCTTAGCCCAAATGACATTGACGATCTCGTTCTGCGTTCTCCACAAGACCCTCTGGGGGATTTTTGTCATAGCCGCTCCATATGTAAGTTGTGGTATGACTTTAGAACTGATGAGGTGTTTCTTCACGTCAACTTTCAGTGGCAAGGCCGCAATATTTTTTAAGTCGTCGATGATTTTTTCACCCTTTTTTGTATCAAAGTCATAGGATTTGGGGGCATTGACATAAATTTTGACTCCAAGGACATCCAGGACACCTGCAATGGGAATATCCGGAAAGACGGCTGTAACTCTCTTTTTCTGCGAGGGGTTTGAGACCCACAGCTGACACTTCTTGGGATTAGATACTTGACCGGTGAGAGTATCCCACATGGCTGTAACATCAAGGGCCCGTCTGAGCTCATGGATCTGAGACATGTAAGCATCGTCTATGAAAGCTTTAAGGTTGATGAAAATCGACCACACCGACATGAACAAATTTATAGCAATCAGCGACAATGAGCATCCTTGAGGTACACCATTCGATGCTGTAGTTGCGGTTGGGGAGATCCACCCCCTCAAGGCAAGGTGCCTGCGCAGGTTGGTGTACATCTGGACAAAGAAGTGGACTAGACCCCGTGGGAGGGACTTGTCTAGCTTCAGGCCAACGAGGGCCGTAGAGTCCTTTCTTGCAATGTCCAAATCAAGGCGTAATTGCGTGTGTACTGACGTCATGGTTCGGCCCTTGATTGCACCGCACAAATTCATGGGCAGCACCGACTGTTGCCATGACTGTAATTGGCGAAAACGGAGACCTGTGTAAGAAAGGAGTAAAGCAGGAAGTAAGGTAATCAACCGTTTCTGCATAGGGGAGGGGTCCCCGTTTTTGTTGAGTACCATCTGTTTAGCAATGGTCAAGACTTGGGGAAGAGGTGTGAGTTCCTTCTCAATCTGGTTGAACAAAAGTGCAACAGGTACAAATGCGAACCAGGGAAGTCTTTGGAGCTCGACCGTACGCCATCCATCAAGACCGGGGGCAGCATTAGGTTTCCTGCGATGGATTTGCTCCCAGAGGTCCCGTGCGCTAATGTCTGGAATAATGTCAGGCTGAGACGATAAATGCGACACATACGGCCAAATGACCTTCAGTATGGTGTGGGGATCTTCGCGAAGGGCATTAGCACCGAACACCTGGTCCCATTGGGAATTAAACTCGGCCAGAGCGTCAAGGGGCTGATACAAGATGTTACCTGCAGTATCCGTGATCAAGTTTGGAGGTTCCTCACAAGACTTGTTTTTCAGGTGCTGGAAGACAAACTTCTTAGTACCCTCTGCTGAGGTTCTGAGTTTTTCTTTCCAAGTTTGAATCCTGGCGTGCCGGATATCACTGGTGACACTAGAGTGAACTCCCTCGAGCCACTGCAGGCAGTCGGAAATGTGCACTAAAGTGGGTAACTGATTCAGGGGCCAAACACAAGGGCAATTCCATTTAAACAGAGTCGATCTGGCCTTACGAATGGAGCGCATAAGTGTGTCACCATCTGCGAAAGACCGGATCGGACGAGTCAAACGAAGGAAAATTTCCCTAAGGAGGTTGACGATCACAGCGATCCGTTTGGTTTTCCTGGAGAGGGCATCACCCTTGGCGG